CTTAGGAGAGAGGACTCACCACATTCTCTGCCTCCCTGCTCTGGTGGGTCCCGTGGATGACACTGGGGAGAGACGGTCCTTCGGATCAGAGGCCCCCAATCTTTTGACCAGTTTCATGGGGAGAGGTTTTTCTGCGGACCGGAGGGTGCGTGGTTTTGTGTGCTGCTTGCATCCCACAGACAGGGCTTTGCTTGTTTGGGCGGACCATTTGCTGGCATGCTGCGGTCTGGTAACAGTCCACAGACTGTTGGGGACCCCTGCTTCAGATAACCTGCCTCCCGTGGTTTAAAACTAGTTCAAACAGACCATGTTTCTCTATCCTGCCTCAGATCACCTCTGTTTGTGTTGGATTGAGAGCCTCTCTCCTTGCCCAATTACCTAACTCCCATTGTACCAGGAATGGCATAGCCATTATTCTAACCTCCGTGGTTAAAAGGCAGATTAAGATACTAACCAAAGCAGGAGGCAAGCTGTGGGCTGTCCACCTAATGATAAAAATTTGCAGCATGATGGTGCGGTTGCGAGTGTGCGTATTTTCCCCCAGAGGTTCATCTTCCATAGTACAAGCTAATTAGACCCATAACTAAAAGACGAAGCTGTTGAAACGGTGCAGGCTCTCCAAAAATGCTACACCTGTTTTCCAGGTGAGATTCTCGGCACCCAACTGTGTTGATCCTTATGCCCAATTTCTTTACTAATTAAAGTAAAATCCAGGAAGCCATTTCAACAAGAAGCAAGTGGATTTCGGCACGCGAAACTTCAAAAACCTGTCCAGTTCCCATTTCCTTGGAATCTCTCCTCCACAGGCTTTCCATGGTTCAAAAGAAGTCAAAATAGGACAGCTGATGGAAAGAGAGCTGGGCTACATCAGTATACGGTAAGTGTAGTAAGACCACACCCAGAAAGGAGGCATCCAGTTTTGGTCACCACATTACAAAGAAGATGTTGAGACTTTAGAAAAAGCGCAGAGGAGAGCCAGTGAGATGATCAAAGACCCGGAGACCAAAACATGCAAAGAACGGTTACAGAATTTCGGTATGCAGAAAAGAAGGAATAGGGGAGACATGATAGCAGCCTTCCAGCATCTGAGGGGCTGCCGCAAAGAAGAGGGGGGGGGGGGTTGACTTATTTTCCAAAGCACCAGAGGGCAGGACAAGAAACAATGGATGGAAACTAATCACGGAGACAAGCAAGCTGGAATTAAGGAGAAACACTCTGACAGCGAGAACCGCTTTCCTGCAGACGTTGTGGGTACTTCACCTCTGGAGGTTTTTAAGAAGAGACTGGGCAGCCACTTGTCTGAAATGGTCGAGGGTCTCCTGCTTGAGCAGGGGGCTGGACTAGAAGACCTCCGAGGTCCCTTCCAGCTCTATTCTGACAGTGTTGACAAGCTCTTGGAGAAATCAACAGGAGCCCAGATTCAGCACCATGGAGAGCGACAACAGCCCAGACCCAATTGACCTGATTCTATAGTCCTGCTGCAGGAGACCTCTAGGTCAGTGGTTCTCAACCCTTTTAATGCCGCGACCCCCCAACCAGTCGTAAGTCGAGGACTACTCAACCAGTCGTAAGTCGAGGACTACTCAACTGGTGCAGCACCGTATGCAGAATGGGACTTTTGGCGGGCTCAGCAGGACAGAGACAGCCTGGACAATTCCTATTGGCTTTGGAAAGCCAATAGAATTAGACTCTATTCAAGAGAGTCTATTCTATCGGCTTTCCAAAGCCAATAGAATAAAAGGGAGGAGCACAGCTAAGGAAAAGGGGGGGAAAATGGCGGACTGCGTTGTTTGGCCACCCCCGTGAAATGGTCCTTCGATCCCAAATGGGGTCCCGACCCACAGGTTGAGAACCACTGCTCTAGGTGCTCCCCAAAACAGACCTTACCTATTTATTTCAGGGCCAGTACCCTGTGCTTGACTGGTTCTAGGTGCTATAAGCAGAAATCAAACCAAGTTGGCTTACCCATTTTGCAAGCTACTGGGTATCCCTAAACCCGTTCACCCCCCCCTCCCTCTGATAGGGGAAGTTACGGTCTTTTGAGTAGATTGAACAATAGACTTTGAACTTGGTCCTTGCGCATGCTTCCTCCGGACAAGGAGAGGCATATTCACACTCGCCAAAATGTACCTGTGCGAGTGCTCGCACCACTTCCTTCCTCTGAAGTGGCCAGGGAATCATTACAGCGTCTCTAATTTTCTGCCAGAGGACTATGTATTTTGTCGTTCTCCTCGCGCAACTCTGGGGGGTGGGGTGGGTGGGGAAAATGCTCGATGCTGCCAGCTGAAGTGTTTATTTTTAAGATGCCTCTTGGCACTTGCTTTTATTTTTACATGCTGCCTCTCCCTATCTTCTCCCCTCGCCAATTATCGACTTCGCAGCATAGGCCGAGGTGGAGGATAAACAACTTTTGAGATGTGAGATGGAGGAGGAAGAGGAGGGAGACTATTCTATTCCATTACCTTCCACTCCATTCTTCATTTTTCTATTCTATTCTGTTCTGTTCTATTCTATATTCTATTCTATTCTATTTCTATTCTATTCTATTCTATTTCTATTTTATTTCTATTTTATTCTATTTTATTTCTATTCTATTGTATTCTATTTCTATTCTATTCTATATTCTATCCTATCCTATTCTTTTCCATTCCATTTTCTATTCTATTTCTATTCTATTCCATTCTATTTCTATTTTATTTCTATTCTATTCTATTCTATTCTATTCTATTCTATTCTATTCTATTCTATTCTATTCTATTCTATATTCTATCCTATTCTATTCCATTCCATTCCATTTTCTATTCTATTTCTATTCTATTCTATTCTATTCTATTCTATTCTATTCTATTCTATTCTATTCTATTTCTATTCTATTCTATATTCTATCCTATCTATTCTATTCCATTCCATTTTCTATTCTATTTCTATTCTATTCTATTCTATTTCTATTTTATTTCTATTCTATTCTATTTCTATTTTATTTCTATTCTATTCTATTCTATTCTATTCTATTTCTATTCTATTCTATATTCTATCCTATCCTATTCTTTTCCATTCCATTTTCTATTCTATTTCTATTCTATTCTATTCTATTTCTATTTTATTTCTATTCTATTCTATTCTATATTCTATCCTATTCTATTCCATTCCATTCCATTTTCTATTCTATTCTATTCTATTCTATTCTATTCTATTCTATTCTATTCTATTCTATTCTATTCTATTCTATTTCTATTCTATTCTATATTCTATCCTATCTATTCTATTCCATTCCATTTTCTATTCTATTTCTATTTCTATTCTATTCTATTTCTATTTCTATTTTATTTCTATTCTATTCTATTCTATTCTATTCTATTCTATAGTCTATATTCTATCCTATCCTATTCTATTCCATTCCATTCCATTTTCTATTCTATTTCTATTCTATTTCTATTCTATTCTATTCTATTCTATTCTATTCTATTCTATTCTATTCTATATTCTATTCTATTCTATTCTATATTCTATTCTATTTCTATTCTATTCCATTCCATTTCTATTGCTGAGTGAGATATTTGTTAAGTGAGTTTTGCACCATTTTACAGCTTTTCTTTCCACAACTGTTAAGTTAGTGACACGGCCATCAACGGAATTTGGCTTCCCCATTGCCTTTGCTTTTTAGAAGGTCAGAAAAAGGGGATCACGTAACCTCCGGGACACTGCAACCATCCTAAAAATGAGTCAGTGGCCAAGGGTCCGAATGTTGATCACGTGACCAAGGGGCGGCTGCAACACAGTCCTTTTTCTTTGAATGCTGTTGTAACTTTGAATGGCCACTACATGAAATGTTGTAAGTTGAGGACTACCCTTGTACTTCCACGGACACTTCTGAAAAGCCCATGCGATGGGTCCAGCCCCTCAACCCACCTCAGCTAGCATCAACATGGACTAACGGCAGCCGCGCTCTTATTACTAAGTTTTCGCACATCTCCCAGAGCTACTGCGATGGGGTTGCTTGCGCCAGAAATAAATCTCAAATGCAAAGAAATTGCAAGTCAGAGGCAGAGGTAGAGTTGGGTGTCTTGTGTAGACCGGGCACAGCCTCCACCCCCTTCCTCATCCCTTCTTATTAACTGCCTTTTTTTCTCTTCCCTCGCTGTCCCCTGCTGGCCACCAGCCTCCTCTTCCTCAGCCCGCCGGTCTCGTTCCCCCGTCAAGAGGAGACACAGAGCAGGAACGCCAAGGAAGAGATCAGCAGTGGGCCTGGCTGGATGGGAACTGTGTGTAGCCAGCAACTCGAAGGGGTGGGGAGAAGAAGAAGAAGCAGCAGCAGCAGCAGCAGCAAAGGATTGGATGCCTGCAGGAGAATTCAGTGTAGCTGCCTTTAAACGGCCACACGCTGCACCGCGGTCAGAGCCGGCTCAGAACAGGGGAAGGAACCATCCACTCTGGCAGGCAGCCTTCCCGCGTCTGGACAGCACAAAACATCACAAAACAGAAGGAGGGGGAAATGACAAGTTCAAGGATTGAACTTTGCCAAAAGACAATCAGCTGACAGGGAGGACAATCAAAGTGGAACAGCTTGCCATCAGAAATCGTGGGCGATCCATCACTGGAGGTTTTTAAGAAGAGACTGGACAGCCACCTGTCTGAGACGGTGTAGGTTCTCCTGCTTGAGCAGGGGGCTGGGCTAGAAGACCTCCAAGGTCCCTTCCAGCTCTATTTTATTCTATTCTATTCTATTCTGTTCTGTTCTGTTCTGTTCTATTCTATTCTGTAATTCTATTCTTTTCTTTTCTATTCTACTCTGTAATTCTATTCTATTCTATTCTATTCTGTATTTCTATTCTATTCTATTCTGTAATTCTATTTTTTTCTTTTCTATTCTACTCTGTAACTCTATTATTCCTATTCTATTCTATTCTATTCTATTCTATTCTATTCTATTCTATTCTATTCTATTCTATTCCATTCTGTAATTCTATTTTTTTCTTTTCTATTCTACTCTGTAATTCTATTATTCCTATTCTATTCTATTCTATTCTATTCTATTCTATTCTATTCTATTCTATTCTATTCTATTCTATTCTATTCTATACATGGACCCAGTGCAATCTGCCCTGGAGACTTGAAGAGTGCTGAAGGAGGACTGGTGTGGTGTGGAACTTCAGGAAAATTGGGCATTTAGCATCCAGCCCACCAGGTGGAATCGGAGGATGGCACACGTGCCCGTCTCCTTTCCTTACAAATTTCACACCGGCCAGCTCTTTTTGGACCAAGAACTCCAGTAGGCAAACCTGGAGAACTGTCTGCCTGCTGGAAAAGTTCATCCGCCTTTTGGAAGGTCTTCTCCATCTCATCCCATTCCATGTGAGGATCCCTGAAGGACATGTAAGAACATCCTTCTCAGACTGCTTCCAAGCCCACCTCCATCCAGTCTCCTGTTTCCCGGAAGTGGCGACCACTTTGGGAAATCCCACCTCCGCCACTATCTCCTCACCTAACTGGGAAGACTGAGCAGGGGTCTCCATTTCGGAGGACAGGAAAAGGAAGAGGAATTAAGGCAAAGGGGAACTGGACGAAGGGAAGGGGAAAAGGGGACACCTGGTCTGATCTTCCTGAAGATGTCTGATCAGGAGATTGATGACTATGAAGGGGACAACTTCTCTGACACTTCGCACACCATCCAAACTCTCCCACCTTACAACATGGAGGACCAGCTCCTGCCCATGGAGCGTCGCAGCACCTGTGGCTGTTGGGTGTGGACTTGCCTGGTGGGGGCAATGAACTTTTTTGCTTTTCTCCTGAACTTCCTTCTGATGGCTGCCATCTTTCTGGTGGTCCTTTTGCCCGCCATAGTCGTGGTCTATTTTGGATTCCAGTGTCACTCCCGGGTAAGTATTATACAGCCAATTGAACTTTCTGTTCAGGAAGCTCCCAAACAGAGGAGGGTGTAAGACTTGTCTAGTGGATAGGAGAGGCTTGTCCTCTGTCCATTCTCAGAGGCATTGTCTGTCTTCAGTTAAATCATCATATGTGCTAGATTGGATGGTCCTGTGCTTCATCCCATTGAACGCTGATGCATTTATTATTAGGTTTATCTTCTGCCTTTCATCCATGACCTCAAGGAGATGTGCACAGTACTTCCTTCTCCTATTTTTCAACACAAGGAATGATGAGGTAGGTTGAGCTGAGAGAGTGATAGTCTAAAGTCAGCTAGGAAGCTTCATAGCTAAGGGGCAGAACTGAAGTTACTCAGTCCTTGCCCAACCCCTTAATTATTCTGCTCTCCTAGGATATGTGTTCATTCATTGGATGACAAGCATCATAAGGTAGCTTCAATAGAACCGATGTGTCATGCTCATTCTGCTAAATGGGACTTGACCCATAAAGTCCTATCCAAATGGCACTGTCACCTGTAGTCTTACTTCCATGTATACCCAAGTTGACCCTTGTTAAGGAAAGCGGGGTAGAGGCCAGCCAACATGCTCCCTTGAGTATGAAGAGTCCCTTTGTTAAGATTCATTTCATTGTGAAGAGAAAGAATAATGATGGTTGACATACCGTTGATGGGGCATGACGCTATTACAGAGAACGATAATTGTCATGTGCAACTATTATTCCTTGCTATAATCTTTACTCCTTTAATCTTTGTGAGACTTCTCTTCTGAGAGGATACTTAATATATGAGTGCTAATGTGTGTATTTGGACAATCATATATGAATGTGCAAATACTCTTCTTAAATAGAAGTCAGATTTGAGCAAGGATCTTAGTCTTAAGATCCTTAGACTAAGATCCTAAGACTAAGATCCTTAGACTAAGATCCTTAGATTTAGTCTTTGGAGGTTATCTGGACCTCAAAGTATTAACCCAGTGAGCAAAGTCTCCTCCTGTTCTCAACTGCTTGTTCCTTCTCTGAATAACCCGTTACAAAAAGTAACAGGTTGAAGATTATTAAAGGGAGAACCAACCTAGAACAGAGGAGAAACTTCCTGACAGTAAGAACAATTAACCAACGGAACAGCTGGCCATCAGCAGTTGTGGGTGCCCCATCACTGGAGATTTTTAAGAAGGGATTGTACAGCAAATTGTCTGGAATGGTAGAGGGTCTCCTGTTTGGGCAGGGGGTTGGACTAGAAGACTTCCAAGGTCCCTTCCAATCCTGTTATTCTATGCTCTATGGATACAAAAGTACTCTCTGTAAAAATCCAGGTTGCTCTCCTTCAGCCTGCACGGAAGGGAAATGCATCTGTTGGAAAGCTCGTAGCTACCAGATATTAATACCCCCAGAGAGGGACGGATGGAGCTTACAGCATCTGTTTCCCAATTTTCCAACTATGAGGTATCTAGCATTTTTAGCAAGCATAGCCGTCACCATATCTTGGCAGCATCCTATCCCAGTTAAGAGGATGAGAAACAGGGCAGTGTACATTAATCTTGAAAAGAGTCCATGGCTTTTTCTGTTCATTGACTTTCCAAATGTTTTCGGCACATGCAGTGGGATCGGTTTCAATCTGCTAAGTAGCTGGGTACTCACAACGTAGTCATCTAAGCAAAGGTAGGGGTAACTTGTAATTCAGCACATGATGAGAAAATAGGCTTTAGTTTCTTCTCTTCTGACCTGGCCTCTCACCTCCAATCACACGGGCTTCCTTTGCACGGACACTGGAGACTATGTGAAGTTAGCAACTGTAAAAGCTGCAGCGTGGGAAGGATTCCAGAAACTTCGGGCTCATGTCCAATTATTGTGAAAAGTGGATAAACACTAGGAAGTGCCAGGGTTTGGTTCGGAGGTGGTCGGCCGGTTTGGTTTAGCTATCCAGGAAAATGTGATCAGCCCAGCAACTTTGAGATTGTCAGGGGCAAAAATTCAGTCCCGAAGAAAAGAGGGCAAAAATATCGTGTAGCCTGAAGACCATTTAGGAGCTTCGAAGAGTCATTTTGCCCGCCCATCTTGTTCAACGCAGACATTGCAAAGCAAGATGTAAAACTGTTTTCCTCACCTGAAGCTATAATTACACTCTAAGTCTATTTAGAGTAGAAACATGACTTCTGGCAATTTTAGGGATAAATCTGTGCAGGATTTTTTTTTTCCCCCTTTCCTTTTTTTCTTCTCGGCTTCTTGGTTTACCTCATTCCTCTTCTCTGGGATGCTTCCCAGTCTAGCCAACAGCTGTGGGGTCTCCCGTTCAAGTGACTTTCTTTAAAGTCCTCTAGCAAATAAGGTTTCAGAGACGGGTGTCATCTGCTCAAGAATTCTAAGTGTCTGGATATTTTTCTCCCAAGAATTAGTTGACATCTGCTTCTTTGCCATCTCTGTTCTTTCACTCTGGTGTTAACCTCCTGGAATCTTAAGAAATATGTATACTCTGTAAATGAATAAATAAACATTGCCTGCTTTGGGCTAACCTCCAGCTTAATACCCCTATCTGCAAATGAGAAGGAATGAAAACAAGGACGATGGAATGAGAATCCACCAAAGAACAAGAAGCACAAGGATCCAGGAGAAAAGTTGAACTTATACACAAATCATTTTGTGTCCCCTCAAGGCCTCTTGTCACTCAAAAAGCTTCCACTAATGTATTACGTGAGTCAGTTCTGGCTAAACTGGACTGTAAGAACAGTCTGCCTGTATTGCTAAGAAAAAACAGGTTTATGTTATCAGTTTTGGGGAAGGAAAACAGAGCAGGAAGAGCAGAGAGGAATTCAAATTATTGCACTATGCATCTCTCTAAAAAAATACACACAGATCTAAATTTCCTTTTCAGTAATTACGAAACCTCTGGCACAATCGAAATAAATTCCAGATCTTCAGTGAGAGCAACTTTATCTCCAGCCTTGGCTCCTCAGAATTTTCATTTAATTGTTAACAGTATTTCTTTTCGTGGCATGCTCCTCTTTTTTCTTCCATCCTCCCCTCCTGTATTTGTATTTGCCGGCACAGACTGAATTCCATTTAATGTCTTTTTAATTAAGGGTGCCCCCCCCCGCCCGCCTGCCGCAGTCAGTCTCCAGGATTTGTGTGCTAAATTAAAGATAGAAAAAAGTCCCAAAAAAAAAACCCAAGAGGAATAAAAATTTCTGAATCAATATTATCCATGACTTCAGCGTGGAGATTTGGGCTCAAGACAGTCCCGAGCAACCTCCAATTCATTCCGATTGACAAACTCATTTTGTTCTTATTAAGTATTCTGCAGTGCGCATGCCATTAGGGACAAATGTACTCAAAACGCATTTCATCTGGCCTCTCTCCTTTGGATGCCTAGGACGTTTGAGCTTTATCCATCCTGCTTGCAGAGATTTCGCCATTCCCCCCCCCCCCCAAAAAAAAGGCTTTTCCTGAATCAGGAATTTGGAAAAGTGCCGTGGGGACGATCAGGAAGGGCACCGGAAAAAAACCTAGGAGAGATGGGAAAATGTGCTTTGGATCTCTGAGGCTGAATCACACTGAGGAGGATATGGCCCTGAGCCATATAGGGCTTTAAAGGTAATAACCAACACCTTGAATTGGACCCGGAGACCAATAGGCAACCAGTGCAGCTCACGGAGGATAGGTGTAACGTGGGTGTATCGAGGAGCACCCACTATCACTCGCGCGGCTGCATTCTGGACCAACTGTAGTCTCCGAATACTTTTCAAAGGTAGCCCCGTGTAGAGCGCGTTGCAGTAGTCCAGATTGATTGATTGAAGAGCAGGAGCCCCGGTGGAAGTGCAAACCAGCTTAATTAAAGGGGGCTATTAAAATACTGAATCAATCCTGGGTAGTGGCTTTGTTCTCTAAATGACCTCTCTGGAATCAATGGCAACCCTGATTTGAGATGATTAGCAAATGGAGCCTATCCTATCTACCCAACCCCAACCCCCAGGAGATGCCATATGGTTATTTTCCTTTCTGTAGTTGCAAGCAGATCATCAAAGAAGTAAATGACACCTTTGGGTATTCAAGGGGATTGTTAGCTAATGGCTCCCCAGAATCTGTCAGCTTTTGCCAGCCGTTCCCGCACAGCAGCAGGGACGGGATGGAACCAGGCACTGAATATTGGTCATGTTATGCAAGCAGGACATTCTCTGGGAAGTCATTCAGCCGTCCCTGGCAGATGGGACACAGGGGAATGCAAAGCCCAGGCACGCTCACTTCCCCCTTACTCAGCTTACGGTTCCTTGGCCAACTGTGTTTGCCCACATATGCTAGAACTCCCAGTTACTTTTAGCAGACAGTTGGAAGGTGAAAGAGACCCTTCCAGGATGGGGATGTTCCTCCTGGTGCTGTGGAACTACAACTCCCAGCATCATCCCTCTTCCCAAGGGCCATTCCTACGTCAGCCCTATACAGATGTTTTTACAGAATAACAGAGCTGGAAGAGACCTCGGAGGTCTTCTAGTCTAGCCCGCTGCTCAAACAGAAGACCTTATGCCATTCTGGACAATTCCTGTCCAATCCCTTCTTAAAAGTCCAGTGATGGGACACCCACAATTTCCGGGGGCAAGTTGTTCCACTGGTTAATTCTTCTGCCAGGAAATTTCTCCTTAGTTCTAAGTTGCTTTTCTCCTGGATTCGTTTCCATCTGTTGCTTCCTGTCCTGCCTTCAGGTGCTTTGGAGAAAACATTGATCCCCCCCCCCTCTTCTTTGTGGCGGCCCCTCAAATATTGGAACACTGCCATCACGTCATCCCTACTCCTTCTTATCACTAGACTTGGCAAACTCCATTCCTGCAACTGTTCATCGTAAGGTTTAGCCTCCAGTCCCCTAATCATCTTTGTTTCTCTTCTCTGCACTCTTTCTAGAGTCTCAATATCGTTTTTCTATCTTGGTGACCAGAACTGGACACAGTATTCCAAGTGTGGTCAATCCAATCCAGTCCCAAGGAATGAGTAGCCAGGTTCTGCTACAAAGCAGCCACAGCCAACTCAGTTTGAAGTCCCTTTTCTTCCTCAAACGGCCAAATAATATATCTGTGCTGTTCCTTATCGGCTCACCTCTGAGCAAATAGATTCAATTGATTTTCCAGCTGTCACCAAAACCCCTTGCCTCGGTTTGCTCATGGACAAGAATGGATTGAAGAATCCCAAGGGTGTAAATCTTCAGAGGCTCCTGTTTCTTAAGAGCAACAGGCTGCCCCCAGTCCTTAAGGAAAAAGGCATTGGGAAACTTCGGAAGCAGCTGATGATTTAATTTGCCCGGTTCTCTCTCTTTCCACCACCTCGCATCCCTGCAGAAATTAGTGCAGACACTTCCTTCGTGTGGGCAGGCGTTCAGCACATCTCCCTGGAGTTGTTTATGACTATTTATTACCCCATGTTAAAGAACAACCGAACTCTCCTGCGCTTTATAGGCCCTAATTACCTGCCATAAGACTGCAGGAAATTCCCACCATTTTATCACAGTTCTAAAAACTGCTGTGAGAAGATAATTGCAGAAGCAAAGCAATAGAAGCAACAAACATTGCTAAATATTGCTAAATACCGTTGGCACAGTTGAAATCTTACGCCAAAGGTATTTCTTCCCTCCTGCTCTTCCCCTTTCCAGCTACCTAAAGTGGCAGCCATGACATCCTGTGGCAGTGAGTTCCACTGTTGAATCACATGTAAACTCATTGCCACCGGGAAGATGAAGGGCAGAGTGTGGGTCTGCAGGGTGGGTTCTCCACAGGGAAAGCAAGCTTGCTGTATGCATTTCACATTATTTGTGTCCTTAGCAAAGCAATAGCCATCCTATCAAAGTCAAACTATAAGTCTCCTTAACACAAATCCAGACTTTTTGACTGCTGACAGATATCAAAATATCTGCTTTGCCATCTGGGCCTGATAACTACAGCTACTAAATTCGTCTCGTGTCAATACGCACCGCTGACCTTCTTTCCTGCAAGATGGATCTCCTTTGGCCTGGAACACCTCTCTCTCTGGCTGCTGGAGATTTTATTCTTCGCAAGCCGTACTTCTTCTGTGTCCAATATCCCTCCTGAAAAGCATCAAGGGGGGGGGGAAATGAAATTTAATGCCCTGCTTTTTTCCATTAACTCAAGGGTTTCACATTTCTTTTGCCCTTTCATACTATCCCTTCCCCAAAAGATGATAAAAATTTGAATCGAAGGCACACGTCTTAGGTACAGAGGTAGAAACAGAAAGAACGCCTCTCGCTGGAGGTGAGAGAAATAAATTGCACCTTGACATAACAGGGAATATTGAAAAGGTGAAATGGCTCGCCGCGTTTATACCCTGATGGCTTGGGCACATGGATTATTATTTATCCCTGATCTAGCATCTAGGTATCTATAGAAAGCTGAAAAATCAGGGGCTTACCCTCAAAAGGTAGAAAATATATTACGTGTAATCAAAAGGTTCGTATCGCTCAAAACGAACAATGGCTCAAACCAGGTAGGACTTTACAGGTGGCTGCCAACACCTTGAATTAAGCCAAAGCACCTCACACAATGGACAGGTTATTTTACTAAGCCAACTAACATGGATCAGTAAGCAAGCAGGCTGAAAGAGAAACGTTGGGGCAAAGATACCATCACAGTGCAGTGCCAGGGGCTGTGCAGTGCACTGTTTCAATGTGGTTCAACGCTCCGACAGAATCTGAAGCCTCCCACTTTGCAGCAACGCCCCCCCCCCAGTGTTTCATTCTGATTTCCCCCCCACACACACACACACACCTCTTTTCGCTCTCCTGTTTTTCTTTCGGCAACGCAAAAATCAATTGCCATCAAATGGGCATCTTAACATGACAGAGAGTGGATTGGATTGGACTGGAACTATCCATAAATGTAAATAAAATTGAATCAAGATTGCTTTTACTAGGGCTCCCCGAGGCCTCGGCATAGGCTTTCATCTTAGAAAACACGATTCCAGCCTCGAACGGTGGAAGAAAATCAATCTGGACCGGTTTTTCTATAGATCGATTCGATGTGCGCGTCAAGATAAATATACATTCCCTCCGGATGTAGGATCAGAAAAGCTAAAATTTTGGGGTGGGGGTGGATCACCATTGGCTCTGAAGCTCCTCATCTCCAGCCAGACTGCTTTGGGATCCACAGGGTGGGAAAATAGGTCGTAAGCCGAGGACTATCTGTGTTTTATTTTGAATTATTTCTGGCTCACTTAGGGTGCGCTGGCGTGATGCTGACAGCCACCCCAATCCCCCGGGCGAGCCTTAGAGACAGAGAATCTTTTTGACGAAGGCTCCGCCATTTTGGAAGAGGCCTCCGTAGTTCATCTCCATAAGCTCTAGCTGTTTCCCGGACTAGCAAGCCATTCGTTTAAATTAATTTCATTTTATCGGCAGAAGCTTTTAATTAAAGATTTGACTTGCCGCGTGTTCTGAGTTCTCAACCAGGACGTGTGGATTTCACCTCCCCAGAATGCCAACATGGCCATTGCCAAAAATAATCCTCCTCCCCCTCCTCCTCATCATCATCTCAAAATGCTAAGCAGGATCAAAATGTTAGTTGCTGGTATTTGATTGGGAAACTAGCAGGGCAAGCCACAGCTCTAGATGTGTTTTGGGGAGAAAGGTAACAGCAAAGCACTTTGGCATCAAAATGAACTCAAGGCATCCTTGGCCTCAGAGAGTACAAATCCTGGATAGGAATTCAGCCGGAGGGCTGAGCTTCTCCTTAGAGCAGTGGTTCTCAACCTTTTTAATGCCGCGACCCCCAACCGGTCGTAAGTCGAGGACTACTCAACCGGTCGTAAGTCGCAGACTACTCAACCGGGGCAGCACCGTTTGCAGAACGGGACTTTTGGCGGGCTCAGCAGGGCAGAGACAGCCTGGACAATTCCTATGGGCTTTGGAAAGCCAATAGACTCTATTCAAGAGAGTCTATTCTATTGGCTTTCAAAAGCCAATAGAATAAAAGGGAGTAGCACAGCTAAGGAAAAGGGGGGGGGGGAAATGGCAGACTGCGTTTTTTTGGCGATCCCCGTGAAATGGTCGTTCGACCCCAAATGGGGTCCCGACCCAAGGGTTGAGAACCACTGCATTAGAGGGAGAAGAAGGCTGCGGGATCAATCCTGCCACCTCCAGGGACAACTGTGGGTCTTCTGAGTCCATGAGAGTCACGGGGCAGCTCCGAAGCATCGCCCTGTGCAATCCAGAGTAATCCATACCTCCCTGTCTTTCGGTACGGAAAGGACAGATCCCTCTCCCAAGATCCTTGGGGGAATGACCGCCTCCAGGAATCCCACCCACCCACCCACCCACCACCCAACTCGCTTCCTCTGCCCTCTGCAGGTGCTCCACTCGACCGCCTACTACTGCCAAACCATCCTGGACGACAACAGCTCTTCGGCCTTGATCATCCTCGGCTTCGTCATCATGTCTCCCCTCATCGTGGTCTCCATGGCCCTCTACTGCAGCCTGGCCCGCCGCCTGCACCTCTTCCTCTGCTTCCAGCCGTGCGCCCGGGCCGTGTACAAAGGCGTGAAGTGGCGGTGGTACGAAGAAGGGGGGCTGTGCGGGTGTGTGAAGGAGTGGAACCACCACGTCAAGGCGTGGGTCTGAGCTGGGCCTCCTAGCCTCCGTGCAGTTCGGTTGTTTTCAGTGGGGGCACCAAGGAAGAGCTGTGACAGTAACCCACCACCACTGTTCCCCCCCCCCCCGCAGGCTCCTCGTGCTAAGGAGCTAAAGGCCTCCCTGGATTTCAAGGCAATTTACAGATAATCCCATCGGGGTGTGCCTGTATTTGTTGTTGTGGGCTGCACAAGGAGCGGGGTCGAAGCAGGGGTGGGTGGGACTAGAGCCCCCGAGTGGGTGGCACTCCTTTCCCACCTAATTCACTTAACTGGTTCGTGTTACGACCTCAAGTCTCTGGTTTGGTTTTTCCTGCAACTTCACCTCCTTTCGTGATTCACAATTTCTGGTGGGTTTATGGGTCAATATGTGCCGTAAACCCAGGGAATGGGATTAATTCGGGATGAGGTAGGAGGTCCCCTGGTTGCAACAATCTTCAGTCTCACGCCCTCGTTTGCAGGTTGATGATCGGTCCTTCCTTTCCATGTGTTTTTGAAACTGAGAGGTAGTTAGTTACCTCTTAAAATGTAGAACGTCAAGCAGCAGTCAGGAGACACGTTGAGGTCTCTAACCCAGCGGTTCTCAACCTGTGGGTCGGGACCCCATTTGGGGTCGAACGACCATTTCACGGGGGTCACCAAACAAGGCTGTCCACCATTTTTTTCCCCTTTTCTTTGGCCATGCCCCTGGCAGCCAGTGATGTATAAGTGGTTGGGGGGCACCACAACATGGGGAACTGTATTATGGGGTCACGGCATTAGAAAGGTTGAGAACCACTGCTCTAAAGGCTCCCTCAAATGGAAAATAACCCAAGGAGGCTCAGTTCCTTCGTTCGTTGAAAAATATCTGGGAACTTGGCCCTTTGTCTGCTTTAACTGTAGGTGAGTACCCCAGTTCAGGAACAAAAGATTCTCTGGCTCATTTTATTTTCTGCGAAAGCAATGCCCTTCTGATTTGAAAAAAAAAAAAAAGAAGAAGAAGAAGGCCATGATATCAGAAAGGGGAGATTGCATCATTCTGGGCTCCACCTATGGTTCTGGTTAAGGCACAAAAAAAAACCTCTGCCCCTAAGAACAGCATGTGGGAGGAGGGGGGAAAGAGAGTCAGGCCCCCTTTTTTTCGATGTAGGCTTTGATCCAAAGCGAGCTTTCGAGTTTTTATTCCGATGAGCAAGATTTGCCTCGCCTTCGCGCCCTCCGGCAGCTGCAACAGCTTCCGTGCTTCGCTGTGTAGTGTGCTGAGGCCACAGCTGGCTCCAAAGCAAACTTGTTTTCGTGGCTTCCAGCGGATTTGATGTGCAGCCCCTGAATGCAGCAAAAAGACTGGCGCAGCGGGTGCAGGAAAGGCCACCTCTGCGCTCCCAGAGCTTGTAAGCGCATCGCGATTCAGGCTCCGCAGTTGCGTTTCAAAGGGTTTCCACGAGGTCTGGTTGAAACGAGGCGAAATGTTTCTTGAATCACCGAGCCAGCTGTATTTTTGCCCAACCATCCAGCTGTGTCCCAACCGATGTCTCGTGGCTATTCTTAAAATGGGAACGGGGTGCAATTGATAGTATTTCCGAAAGAGGTAATTGTTGGGAGAAAGAGATACATCCAATGGTGGGATTCAGCCAGTTTGCACCAGTTCGGCAGAACCGGTAGCTAAACTTTTGCTGACTTCAGAGAACCGGCTGAATGCACACTGCTTCTGGAAATCCAGTGGAGGCCTCCCAGGCCTAGAACGGCCCACCGGAAGTGCATGGATGCCACTTCCGGGAGTCCGTTCTAGGCCTCAGAGGCCCAGGCCTGCATCCAATACGAGAACCGGTTGTTCAGGTATTTGAATCCCACCACTGGATACATCCTGTTAATGCACTGACTGTGAGCTCCTCGGAGTGGTGTTTCTGGCTACGCTTCTTCCCGTCCTGTGTAACTCTTCCAGCTGCTGTTGTGCATCAATGTTTTGGAGACACTACAGACGATGCCCGATGCTCTTCCACTCTCTAGCTAGACATTAAAGGTTCTTTTAAAATATTCATGTCCACCGTCTTGGTCCTTCTTCTGCCTTGCAGTAATTGTGCTTTCTGAACTGCTTAACGTTCCTGGAGGGAATGTGCCACACCTTGCAAATGTTTTGTGAATGGCCACTGTCAACGCAATCTTTATCACTGCCTCCAACATTCAGCATTTCATTGACTTAACAGCATTTAACTACATTTTTCACCGTCTACCTCCTTAAGTGCCTTCTTTCTCTCTGTCCTGGTTATAATTGTTCTGCTATTCATCTACTGAATTTGGGGAAAATTGGAAATACACGCAGTCCTCGGCTTACAACGGTTCGTTTCGTGACCATTCGAACTCACAACAGCGCTGAAAAAAAGCGACTTTATGATCATTTTTCACACTTACGACCATGATCATGTGATCAAAATTCAGTGACTAGGTAACTGACCCACATTTATGACGGTCGCAGTGTCCCCCGGGGTTGCGTGATTCCCCCTTTGGGGGCCTTGTGACAAGCAAAGTCAACGGGGGAAGCCGGCTTCACTTAACAACTGCAGTGACTGACTTAACAGCCGTGGCCAGAAAATCTGTAAAATGAGACAAAAGCTCACTTAACAAATGTCTCACTTAGCAACAGAAACTTTGGGCTCAATCGTGGTCGTAAGTCGAGGACCACCTGGGCACCTGTTTCCATCTGAGCCTCCAAATTCTGCTCATGTGAAAGAGGGAACGAAAGTCCCTCTTTCCCCCCCAGGTCTCAGCGCTGCTTTTTCTAATAAAAATGCAGAAGAACAACGATCCTGGTTAAGGCACATCAGTGGAGGTTTAATTTGCTTGTTTTATTTCCTGGAGAGAAGTGTTAATACCGTTGATTGGGAAAAATGGATGTGCCGAACAACCGCTATTAACCTTCAGTCTTGGAGCCAGCTCTTTCAGGGGTGAAATTAAAACCGCTTTCATTTATTTTCTTGATCGGATAGGAGCGGCCTAAATGTCTTGTTCATGATCGGGCTTTTCATAGATGACTTGTGTTGTGTTGTTTTTTTTAACCCCTTCAGCTGCCCGAAGCTGCTAGCGCTCTCTGATATCGACCCCTGCAACAAGTCGCCTTCGGCAAAATCCTAAATTCCCGGATTGTCTGTTCGTTTACTGCCCAGGTTGATCAATTCATTAATTGATTCTGTGCCAGGGTGTCGAAGAGGCTTATGGTAGGTATGGCAATTAAAAATACCGCAATAAGTTAAAGATCTCATTTTTTAAATTAGGGCTGGGAAAGATGCCAGTCCTGAGAACTAGGGCAGCAAAGTTGAAACACGGTTTGTTAGATAAACCACCGCGGAAAGATTCATGGGAAATGGTGTTTGACCTAGAACAGCGGTTCTCAACCTATGGGTCGCGACCCCATTTGGGGTCGATCGACCATTTCACCGGGGTCGCCAAGCAAGGCTGTCCGCCATTTTTTTCCCCTTTTCCGGCGGGTGCCTTACCTCCCTTGGGCTGGGCCAGCTGGTGACCTAGCCGATGGTCAGCCTGCTCCGTCTCTGCCGCTCGCCAGCTACACCTCGGCCAGCGCAGTGGGCAGTACCACGCGTGCACAGCGCTCCCGGGCAGGGAAAGTCCTTGACTTATGACCAGTTGGGTAGTCCTCGACTTACGACCGGTTTAGTCCTCGACTTACGACCGGTTTAGTCCTCGACTTACGACCGGTTGGGGGTCGCGGCATTAAAAAGGTTGAGAACCACTGACCTAGAAAGAAGCTTCATGGTAAGTTTAGCACGATCTGTGTAGTTAACAGGTAGTCCTCGGCTTACAACCATGAGCACGCTCAAGATTGCTAAGCGAGACAGTTATTAAGTGGGTTTTGCCCTGTTTCTTGCCAGGGTTAGGAAGTGAATCCGTGTTCATCACACGGTTGTTAAGTGAATCTGGCTTCCCCATTGACTTTGCTCATCAGATGGTCGCAAAAGGGGATCCCATGGAGACACTGCGACCGTCATAAATAACACGCCGAACATGTGAATTCTGATCGCGTGACCATGGGGACGCCGCCACGAAGGTGAAGTGTGAAAATAAGTCATAGGTCACTTTTTTCAGTGCTGTTGTAACTTTGCCCGGCCACTAGCTGAACTGTTGTTAAACTGAGGACTGCGTGTATTGACTATAAAGGCCCTAAAGACAGAGAGAACGATGATGGCTTCTTCAAATCCAAAGGGGGGGGGGTGGAAATAACCTGGGCAGAATTCTGCCTCTTTGGGAGAAGTCTCCAGGCATACAGCAAATCAACTTTCTCCCCTGAGTTGGGTTAAGGGGGGAAATTATATTTCCATGGTAACGGTATCCTCTCCGTACCATTCTGTAACAGGAAGTACTCCATATAGCAAGCACAACTGGACAAAACAAGGTTAGCAACGGAGCCTCGGCTCCGTTGACGATTAGGCGGCAGCAATTTCCGGTCCATTTGTGAATCGAGTACAAATTCAGAAGGCGACAATTTGCTCTAGCTTGCTTAAGCGGGAAGTTAGTATGTTGTGCAGACAACCCAAAGGTGTTAATGGGTTCAGGGAGCCTCACCTGGCTTTGGGGGTGAATGGAAGAATGTGACAATAAAGTCTGGTACTTCCCATTCCCTTTGGAAGAGGCACCCACTGTATTCTCAGCTGGACCCAAAGGAGGTCCGTTTCTGGTTTATATTAATTTTGTTCACAAAGCAGGGGGCTGGGACAGATGTCCTCTGAGGAGCCTTCCCATTCTACCATTTAAAGATTCTAAGACTCAAAGCTGGCCAAGTGGGGTGGAAAGAGCAGGGCGCCATCTTTCATAGCGGTGCAGCTTTAATCCACATTTCGACAGAGTCTGTCTGCCACGTCACTGCCCAGTGTCCTTCAAAGAAACTGGGCAGTTTTTTTTCCACCGCTGCCGCTGCCTGTATTTTTTTCCTAACCAGCGTTTTATGGAACTGCACAAACAGATGCTCGACCGGCTGGATTTTATGACAAGAGTGAGGCAGCCGTTTATCTTGACACTGGAGAAGAACAAGGAGAAAGACAGAAAGAGGCAAAATACAAAAGGCTTAGCAAGCAAGGAGGGAGGGGTTTTTTAATTTAATTTAAATAGATTTGTCTCTCCCCCCAAGAGAAAGGGCCAAAATTGAAAGCTTCTAAGCAGTTTTGATTGTTTGTGGACTCCCTTGTTCATCGCAAACAAGCGTAAAAAAACCCTTTGCTTTGCTGACCTACCTCAGTTGTAGAACCTGATCTAATTCAAAGCAAGAAAAACACTTGTGTCTGTTCTCCACAGTGTGTGCTCGCGTACATCCCCCCCCCAACACACTTATGCAAGACACTTCTTCTGGCACGGAAAAACATTGCGGTGCCCAATGCAGAATCGCTTCCCTTTCTGAATACGGACCCTGCATCACTTCTCTGCTGAAACCCAGTCCTTTCCCAAATTTTTTTTTTTAAAATATATGCCACTGCTGCATTAATTTATATTCTCCCACTCCACTTCGCAAGTGTTTATAAATAAACAGTGCTAAACTCACCGATGTTGCTAATACCCGAAAGTGCCAGATTTGAATCTAGTGACCTGGATTTTGTGGTTTCCTGCGGAATTGAAATGGGCGACGTTAAAATGATGAGGTGTGTGAATCAGGCACCGAGTATTTAAATGCAAAAAGGGCCACGCTGAGGGCTATGTGAAGCGGTAAGAACATAGGCCCATTTAGAGCAAAAAGCAGGGATTGTCATCACTTGAAATTGAATTTCCAGCTTACTTGGGCTCTCCAAACTGGCAGTGAGCATTTCAAATCCTTTTGGAAAATACCTTCTCTGACAAAATAAAGGTCCATGAAGTCCATCAGCTCTAAAAAAAAATAGCTGATCTTCAGTCATTTCATCTTAAACCAAGCCTCTTATACGCACTGCAGAATTATATATTTTTTAATGCAGACTTACCATCCTTGGGACACAGCTATCCACACAAAACCGTAATTGGGAGATTTTTCTGATGCCATCTGCGGCGAAAGCAAAAAAATTGCATTTGTTCCGGATCCCCGAAATGCCTGCAATTTTTGGGGAAAAGAAAATACGTAACACATTGATCAACTTCAAGGCAGATTTAAAAAAAAAAAAAAAAAAAAAGGTTCCCAAAGTGTTACAGAAACTTGTTTAAGAACAAAGTAACCACAACAAAGTTAAAATCAAGAGGAGAGAAGTGAAAAGGTTTTCTTTTGTTGTTGTTGTTACAATTTCTTTGATATGAAAAAAAAAAAACAGTAGCAACCTGGATGTCTGTTTTTTTTTACTGAGTGAGAAGCAATAAACTATGATGCATTCACACATACTACTACTGAGTGAGAAGCAATAAACTACGATGCATTCACAGATTGGTCTTTGGAGCAGAGCCTGATATAAATGATGATGTTACCTAGTTTGGTCATGAAAGGTCTGCAAGAAAATCACCAAACTCAAAGAGCACCAAGGACCCCACAGTCGTCGTACTCCTCCTCCTCCTCCTCCTCCTCCTCCTCCTCCTCCTTCCCTTCTCCTTCTCTTCCACTCCACACACCCCATTTTCTTCTAGCACTGATAACATTACTTAGTTTGATCATGAAACGTCTACAAGAAAACTATCAAGTTCAGAGAGCACAAATATTCTCTTCTCGTTCTCAATTGGGGGTCTAAACAGAAGAGTCTCCAATTCTCTCTCCCCCCCCCATTTTTTTGGGTATCCTTTTTTCTCTCCAAACTTCACAGTGCCAGGAAAGCAATGGCAGCTTCGAAAGATCTCCCAGAGCACAAATTAGTCACAGATTATTCACCCTTGTGTTAGAAATATAGCAGATAAGGAAGCTTAAAAGAAGTAGAGCTGTTTTGCTATAAGGCACACTACCTTTTCTTTTTTTTTAAATGTCCCCCAAATATTCACCAGGGGGCAATTTGTCAGGAGAATAACCCGAGTAAACGAGATTTAATCTAACCGATCGTTAAAAAAAAATAGCGGAATCTGGCTGGTGTTCTAAACAACTTGCTTGGGATCACCTCTGGAAAAAGTGGGAGAGCTGTAGGAAATCTCCTGATGTCACCCACATAAATTCCTTAGCTTCAGAATTATGTCTAGATTTTTTTTAATTAAAAAATAAAGAAAGAGGTGGGAATCACTAGGCTTATAAAGGTTACCTATAAAACCACCCTTCCAGCAGCCTTATAAAATATTTCATGACAGCCCGGCGTGGCCTCGGGTTGTCTGCTGCCTTCTGTGCTATGAAACATTTATGAGAAATAGCTCAGGAAGCCAAGCCTGCCGTGGACGATAGGCCTGGAAATTATTTATGTCCGGAGATGGAGCAAGTGAAAAATAGCACACGGGGCTCTGCTGATTTACACCAAGTTGAAAAAGTCAAGAGGTGCTCTGGAAACAAAAAAGGGTGGCTCCGTTTAGCACAGTGGTTCTCAACCTGTGGGTCGGAACCCCATTTGGGGTCGAACGACCATTTCACGGGGGTTGCCAAACAACGCAGTCCGCCATTTCCCCCCCCCCCTTTTCCTTAGCTGTGCTACTCCCTTTTATTCTATTGGCTTTTGAAATTTCCTTTGAGGACCAGATCCTTCTTTAACAGCCCACCAGACAGATCATGGGTGTGAAGATTGAGATATTGGCTCAAGACTATCAGTTCTGGTTATCAAGAGTTATCCCACCTCAACTCTGAATACCCCTTCTGGGCAATACTTGGCAAGTGTGCACTGGTTGACACATGTCCTGCTTGTAAGATGTCTCACTGGCTCTGAAGAACGACCATCCTGGCCCAGAGAGGGTTGGTTTTGGGTTTTTTTTGCGCCCTGGAGATGGTCTTCAGTTCTTAATTGCTGTAATAATTGGAATAGATCCTCCACAGCTGAAAGCAATCTACTTTCAAACATCGGCTCCGGGTAGCACGAGAACGTAGCATCTCTCTGGACCCAAGGGAATCAAAATGGGGGTAAGAAACCTTTTGGATCGGATTCAATGAACCAGGATTTCCATTCTGAAGTTCACTTCACTCCACTGTTTCTCAACCTTGGCAACGGTTTGAAGATGTCTGGACTTCAACTCCCAGAATTCAGAGTTTACTGAAAGGCTGTTAGAAAATCTGTCTCTCCCCCAGGGAACCGGGAGATGCATTCATTGGAAATATACCTGGGGAGGGGTTCAGCTGCAGGTATTCTTGTAACCCATTCCTTTCGTCTTAATAAATCTTATTAAAGAAGATACTTGGAGAATTGTACTTGGAAAAGAAGCACTTTGAGGCACGATTAGGTCTCCCACTCCGTACTTTTCACATTGATTTTGGATGCTACGGTGATAAAAATGATAACCCGACCTCATTTGCTGCCAGGGTTAAAGCCATCCATCTGTGCTTCATCTCTGCAGCGGTTAATGAGATGTGATACGGCAGTGGTTTTTAGCAATATATTTGAAAGTGGAAAGGTACCGCGGAGAGGAAGGGGGGGAAAAAAATCAAGAGTCCTGAACACCTGTATTTATTCCAAGCCAGTTGCTCTCTCCATCAGCCTCCGAGGGAAAATAGATTAAAACCCTCCCGATGTTGCTGGCTGACACACACGCATCCACACTCTTCCATTTGCTGCTGGAGAAATAGTGACTCCATTAGAAAGCTGGAGAATATGTGCCGAGTCAGACAGGTTAATAGGCAAATGGTTATTTCTGCATTGTTTATGAGAAGGGCTGACAGCCACGGGAGCATGAAATGCTATTTTGCCAGCGCTTCTGTTCGAGCGTCTGCATATTTCATTGCTTATCGATCATCTTTAAGGATGCTGTTTGGCTGGCCGGGATCTGCGCATCTGACGCGAAAGTTGGATGAATCAACGCTAGCTGACGGCGAATTAGAAAATGATCAATAGGAAAAACAAAGCATTACAGACTTAAATGGGGGTGTTTGGGCTGGGGTTGCAAATCGGCGGAGGGTGGGCCGGATCACCGAAATGGATGCAGCCAGAATCTAAAGTAGGGAAGGCGTACTAAGGGGTTTCACCCTACAAGTAGTCCTTGACTTAATGTTATTCCAGTTAAAGAACTTCATGCTGCATCACAATGAAAGCTCACCTCGTCCAGCAATTAGTTTCCATTGTAAGCTACAAGAAGGTGCCAGCCAGAACAAAAATAGAAAAGGCGAGCCTGAAATAAATCCTTTTGTTTCATTGCAGTGTTCAAAACCTGGAGAAAACCCCTGTGATCTCCCTCACTATCCCCAGCTCCCCAGCTCGGGTTTTGAAGAGGCTTAGGAAAAACCAAAAGTCCTGCGGCAGTTTTTGCTCTATTTTTCTTTTTGTGATCACCTTCCAAAGGGATCCTATTTTGAAAGTTCAGCCTCCTTTTTGCTGGGAGATGCCCAACAGAATCCCATTCAAACGGCTTTTCTGTCTTTGACCCTACTTGTATTTGTCACCGAGTTGTTGAGTTTTTCTTCTCTCCCCCTCTCCCTCTGTCTCTGTTTCAAAATGCACCCTTATATATGAATTAATCAACTTCCAGGAACTTTACTGCATATTTTTTTTTTCCCCCAGAAAACCCGTCTTTTCTTATTTTGCTCCAGGCCACAGAAGCAGTGGGGAATTAACGAACAAGAACAAAATTAATTTCTTGCAGATGGAAAGAAAGAGACCAGCCTAGAGGGGTAAAAAAATTATATTACAGCAACAGCAAAACATGCTTCGCGTGGGGAAAAGCACCCGCTTCCTTCCTTGGCGTCTACAGGAATGGCTGGGAAGGCTTCAGCATGAAACTCTGGGGAGCATTAACGCTCCTCTACTCCTAAAAAAAAGAGGACAGGAAAGCGGGCAAAAGAGTATCAAAGTGGCATCTGACAAGGAAGGGGCCTTTGGGAAAGCGCTGGAAATTAGGCCCGCGCTTTGAAACAGAAGCAGAATGCATCTCCTTAAGAGTGGGGACAATGCAGACAGAATTATGCCCCAGTTTGGGAAGAACAGCGTGGGAGAAGGATCAGAAAGCTAAGAGGCTGGTAGCTGTGATTGCGGGATCAAACCTCAGCCCTTTTACATGCACTGAAAAGAATAATGGGATCACAAGTACTAGCTCTATTTAGCCTGGAGCCTAACAGAAAAACAGAATATAGGTAGTCCTCGACTTACGACGCTTCATTCAAAGTTATGAAAAAAGGGACTTACGACCGTTTTTCAGTTACAGCCTTTGCAGCATCCCCACGGTCACGTGATCAAAATTCCGATGCTTGGCCATTGGTTCATATTTATGACTGTTGCTGTGTCCCAAGACCCTCCCCTTGATTAGTTTCCATCCATTGTTTCGTGTCTTGCCTTTTGGTGCTTTGGAAAATAAGTTGATACCCCCCCCCTCTTCTTTGTGGCAGCCCCTTAGAAATTGGAACACTGCTGTCATGGCACCCCCTCGTCCTTCTTTTCATTAGGCTAGACATACTGAATTCCTCCAACCGTTCCTTATATGTTTTAGCCTCCAGTCCCCTAATCATCTTTGTTGCTCTTCTCTGTACTCTTTCTAGAGTCTCAACATCTTTTTTACATCGCGGCGACCAAAACTGGGTGCAGCAATCCAAGTGTGGCCTTACCAAGGCCTTGTAAAGCCGTGTCCCTCTCGAGAGTCTGCCTGAACGCTTGTCCTAAGGGACCTCGGAAAAACAGAATTCAACTGGATTGATTCCCTGTAGCTATAGAGCCATTCACAGACCACTCCACTTCAAAAGACTTGAGGCAGAAGAGTAGCACAATGCAATAAAAATGAAATCAAC